TGGGTGTCTCCAGACAAGGAGACTCCACAACCTCTCTGGGCAGCCTGGGCCATGCTCTGCCACCCTCACACTGACAAAGTTTGTCCTCATCTTCAGCTTGAACCTCCTGTGCTCCAGCTTGCTCCCATTGCCCCTTGTCCTGGCATTGGACATCCCAGAGCAGAGCCTGGCTCCTTCCTCCTGACACTTGCCCTTTCCAAATTGATCCCCATGAATGAGGGCACCCCTCAGTCTCCTCTGCTCCAAGCTCAAGAGACCCAGCTCCCTCAGCCGCTCCTCAGCAGGAGATGCTCCACTCCCCCCATCATCTTTGTGGCTCTGCTGGACTCTTTCAAGCAGTTCCTGTCCTTCTTGAACTGAGGGACCAGAACTGGACACAATATTGCAGATGTGGTCTGAGCAGGGCAGAGTAGAGGGGAAGGAGAACCTCTCTGACCTACAACCACCCCTTCTCATCCACCCCAGGATGCCATTGGCCTTCTTGGCTGCAAGGGCACATTACTGGCTCATGGTCATCCTGCTGGCCACCAGGACGCCCCTGCTTGGGGCACAGGGTTGCTTTGGTCTGTCTTGGTCCTTCCTTTCTACACGCAAGACTTCAGTCTCCCAAGAAGTGAAAGTCTGCTCAACTTAGAGGGCTCAAAGAAGGAGAAGAAGGTAAAATGCACTTGACCGTGACACAGGAACAAGCAAGGCACACATCCCCCAGAGACGACTGGCCCAGAAAATGTACTTTTTACCACAATGAGGTGGTGATAGTGGGTATCTTTAGGTAAGGTGTAAATGCATGTTCAGTGTAGGTTCGTCTCTGCTCTCCTTTCCTCAGTTCATGACCTGAACAGCAACTGATGAAGCTTGGAGGTTTTATAACTCAAGCCCTTGCTATAGGTCTGGTCTTGCACAAGGTCCAGAACAGGAATCAACACATATATCAGTCCCTGCATAAATCAGCCCCCATGACAGCTACGAGTTTCACACCACACTGCAAAACTCTCAAGGTCCAAGCTCTAATGGCTGCTTTGGCACAAAATGGTCCCTTGAACCTTCAGGCCACTAATTTTAGCTCAGATGAGATTTTCATTACTTTCTAAGGGACTCAATAAGAGCAACTGTGCTGACAGCAAGAGGGAATTAAGTTCTTATGGCACACACAAGGGTCTTGAATGTTGGCATGCCAGAGCCACACAGAAAACCGCACCGCAGCTGAAGCTGAGCCCCATCTTTTGTTTAATTGGAAATCTGTGCCCATAACCAGCTGCTCCTATTATTGAGACACAATAAAGAGAGAAATCCTCAAAAATCCCTTATATTCAGAAATTCAAGCTGGCATGTTATAACCCCTTTGGATTTCTCCAAACCGCAGGCCCAAGGAATTCAAGGCCTCACATTCACACGTATTTGCACATGCCTTGCCTAAAAATGTGAAAAACACATCATAAAAGTACTTATTTTAAAGCATATGCCCTCAAACTTCTGTCAGTGCGAGGGGGATCAGCTGCGGGGCTGCCAGCCTCAGCAGACATACTGGCTCCTGAAATCGCTTTCTCCCATCTTTGCAGCCAGGCCTGCTCTGGGATTTTGCTTTGCCGAGGACATGTTTCTGTTGGTGTCTGCCCATTTCAAGCCTTTCACACTTATTTTTTTATCCAACCATTGAACGGCAGGCTAGAAAAAGGAGTTTCTCAAAGACCACATCCTGAACCTCTTCCTTGCCTCCCATACAGCCCCTTCCTGCCTTCCGTGTCTCTATCTTCCACAAGTTCTTCAGCCATAAGACAACTTCCCATTGAGGTCCCCGCCAAGCGGGATCAGAGCCCACAGGCCATCCTGTGTAGCCAGCTGCTATTACCAGAAACCACATTTTCTATTCACCTTGTAATTTATGGAGCTCAGCCGTGGGTTTTTACCCATTGCTCTCCCTGTTGGCAGGTTGCCGCGGAGCCTTGCACCTCTGATGGTTTGAAACCTCTTCCAATTTCCTGCCTGAACGCATTTGGAGCCAGTTTATATCTACGTTCTTGTGCCAAAGTTGGAGCTTGAAAAACTGCTCTTCCTCTTCCTCTAATGCATTGGGAGTGATCATAACCTTTCGATTTGCCAGGCTGAACAAATCAAGCTCTTCTAGGCTCCTCAACGAAATAACATTTCCAGTCTCCTTCCAGGTTATACCCCTCTTTCTTGAGCAAGGATGTCATAAATTTTAGCTAGTTTTTCCAGATGTATTTTTACCATACCTTAAGCAGTGGTATTATAACATTTTTTGTATTACTATCTTCCTTCCTGCGTTATAAACATATTTAGAAATATATAGTATTGCATCAATGCTTTTTTCTCTTCAAGTAGTAGGCATTAAGCAACCAAGAGGATTTTCCCTAGTTGGCATTTACCACAGAGCAGCTGATGCCTGAATTAGTGCCCAGGAATCCAGTGAGACTGTGTAGGTTTGGGTTGATGCCCTTGTAAATTATACTTAATATTTTAAGTTATGGATTGAATTCTCCAAATTCTGAAATGACCTATGGAAACTGCCAAAAACTGATGTAGTGTTCATTGGCCAACTTCCCCCCTTGAAATCCTGTAAATTGCTGCGTTGAGTGAGACGTGAACGCTGTCTCCCAAGAACAGTGAGGCAGGAAGGCTGTTGTCCAAGTATAATAAGAAAACTGCATTAGTCTTTCAGGGGACCACTTACCTCCCTAGCTCATACACTGCATAGAGATTTTAATAAAGTAGAATATTGCCGAAAAAGTTGTTTCATTTCATCTGATTCATGTCAAAGAAATACGACAGCGGAACAGCAGAAGGCAGAGAAAAATTCACTGCCTGCAAACCTGCATTTTCAGCCCAAGTCTGACAACAGAGCAGAGCCCACCAGCCCCTCCACAGCAGACATCAGACTGCCAGAGGCTCCACATCATGTACACACACCTGACTCATTCACCAGAAAGCCACATGCCTGTCTGCAGCCTGCATGGCTCCGATAAGTCACTGCAGAGGCACCTCCTACCCCACGGGAGGCAAAGGGCACCCTCCTGCACCCCGAGGCACCTCCCAGCCTTGCGACACCCCAGGTAACTCCTGTGGTAACTCATGGAGGAATTCAGGGTGCTGCTCTTCACCCAGGGACAGCCCCCAGCCCTGAACAACCCCCAACCTCTTTCACAGCCTGGAGAAGTCACACCTTGCATTTGTCTCCTCAGGGGCTCATCTGATGCATGAAAGGTCCGGAAAGGGGTGGTGGCTGAGCTATGCTGGAAGGATTTCAGCGCCTGTCTTAGGCTCTGCTTAGGGCTGCTCTGCATCTCCATGGTGATTACAGACAGGTCTGAAGTGGCAAATCTGCACCAGACCCAGCAACGCAGACAGAGGAGTGCAATTAGAAAGCGGGCATTCGCATCGAGGAGCACTTCAACCTCTGCAAGAAACAAATGTCAGAAGAACCTAAAAATACGTTAAACTGAGTAATGCATGAGACATCAGCACCTACTGCTACAGCTAAGGGACCTTTTTTTTTTCTCCTGAGCATCCAAAACTCCCTGAAGACCTGCAATTGCTCAGAAAGCACCCGAGGGATCAAAGAAGCATCTGGGTCTTCTGGAATATGCCACCGCCATGCTGGAAGTGGGTTTCAATTGCTGTCCATGCTGTGCTGCACTCATCGGAGACCGTGTCTACCCAGTCACAGGCCACCCGTCACTAAATATCTGTATTTCAACCCAAAGCTAAAGGGACATGGGCCAGCTTGGGCTCCAGAAGCCACCGACACGCCTGGACAGAAGACAGTGCTGAGAGCAGGTGGCACCAGTTTGAGTATGGTCCTCCAATGGGACTCATGAAACCCAACTGGTTCATGTCCCTGCAGCACGCAGGACCAGCAGAGCCACTTCAGGACCATCTGCATCTGCCCATGCCCTGCGTCTTGTACCTCCTGGGAGGCACAAAGGGAGCTGCTGACATAAGGAAGGTGACAGAAAACAAGGCTGCTGCCTGATTTGCATGGTTGGATGGCACCAAATGAAACACGCGGTGCTGCAGCGTTTCAAGGAAGCACCGAGCCAGGCTTGTAAAGACAAGAGGAAGGGAAAAAAAAAACCCCAAACAACTGGATTTTCTCTAATCAGACAGATAATATTTACAGCTTATGTGTGGTGCCAAAATATTTCAGGAAATGCCTCAGCCCTTCTGAATAAAAGCTCAGGAAAACACAGTATTTAAGAACAGCAACTACAACAGTTAGAATGAGAGCTTTCCACCCTCTCCCAGCCTCCTTACACAGTTTAAAATGATTGCCATAGCAATTATCAAGGCTAAGCTCGCTTTGCAATCTCCTCTGCAAATTAAGTTCTGAGTCGAACACATAAAAGATCAGCATAAAAACCAAACGCATCACGTAAACTGCAAGGAGCAGAAATCAACGCGTGCTCCGCACAGACAGCATGCTGAGGTCTGATCCATCCCACTCGATTCCTGTACTGAGAGATTTCAACTTCATTTGAGCAATTTCTTCCAGTAAGGCACAAACATCATGTCTGAACACAATCCCAAAGACTTTGGCCTGTTTTTCAGGGTAATCTACCACCTCTGCCTGCCTGCCCTGGACTGAGGCATGGCAGAGTGGTCCAGGAGGGCAGAACATGAGCACCAAGTTCCCCCTGGAGCCCCACCACTTTCTTTTTTCCCCGTGAACAGCAGTAGGTATGTCTGTATCTGTACCCTTGCACAACCACAACAAACCCCGTCCTTGAAGTATTTTGTTTCTCCCCCCTCAATTACCAATTACATCTACAGACACAGAAAACCACAAGTCCTGCAAGCATCGCATCTCTGTTTTGTTTCACCAGTGCATTCAGACCAATCCTGGCTCTGAAAGTCTTGATAGTGCATGCAGAAATAGCCACATGCAACAAGTGCCTGCACCCCCAGAAGAAAAATCAGGGTAACTATCTCCAACGAGCATATAAACCGACTTATTTCTGGTCACTGGGTGATGTCATCATTACCTGCTCGGGCTTCAGGCCAGGGGGGACCCACGCATACTCCTCCAAGGCACAGCCTGAGTCGTCGTCAGAAGTCGAGTTCCTCTGGAAGTCAAACATGAGCTTGGTGACGGTCTTCTCCATCTCCAGAGGCATAACGGTTACGATGTGCTCTTCCTGGGAGCACTTACAGTGAAGGCAAATCTTCCTGTAAGGCAAGGAGAGAGGAAAAAGAGGAGATGTCCCGGTGAGGCGCACTTTAAGAAAGCAAAGTGATTCCTGCCAGTTGCTGGCCTGCAGACACTGAACTCAACCCTTTTTTATGCTCAGGCATTTTCTAACGCAGGATTTGTCTCTCTCTCATAAGGAGGAAACAAAAGTCCCTGTTCGCAGCAACAACACTTGGCAATCAGGCTGAGTCAGACTGCCCAGTGTTTGGGGATATGTAATTGCTTGTCCCTTTAGCACACTGTGAGGAGTGTTTCCAGGGGCCAGCACAGGCAAGGGCCATGTGCCCGCCTGGTGTGGATCCACATGCCAGTCAGTAATTGCAGAGCAGCGACTGAATTTAGGACAGCTGAGCACTTGGCTAAGAGAGAAAATGGTGGATTGACTGGGAAGCTGTGAATGACAAGTCCCTTTAGCATGCTGATAGCATAAATTTGCTTATTAAAGTAGCATAAAAATTGATTATAGTCTGAACATCTAAAGCTAAATTAAATTAAAGGAGGCTACAAAAACCACAGTCACACTGCAACAGCATCTCAACCATCCAGCTCAATAGCACTCACCGCGGCTCAGCAGCACACAGGATCCCACACTGCCCAAGAGCTGGATGGGATGGGGAACTGAAAAAATAGCCCACAGGTTGCAATGGGTTAACACTTCTTGGTGTTTCTTATAAGGGTCTGTTCCTGCAGCTGGTGGTCCATGGGAGACTTTTTTTGTGGCCTTGAACCTGAGCATTTATCTGCAGGGCTGCTAGGACATCACACTCCTTCACCAGGGGGAAGAGTGAAGGACTAACCTTCAGCTAAACATCCCCAGCTCCATAAAAAGATGATAAACTGGTTTCTGTTTCTGCGAACGCAATGCTTTTCCACAATATGGGTCAATGGTATCTATTTTAAAGTAAACACACAGGATTCTGAATTAATTTGCGCTAATGAAACACCACTGATTTCTGAGCAATGAGATAGGGTTTTGCTTCATCTCTGAAATAATAAGGTACCACACGAAAGGCAAGGGAAAAGTTACCATTGCCACTGCAGGTTTCTCTGCTATAAAGTTAAGCAAAGAAATTCAGAGGGCAGCAACAGTTAAACATCAGGGTCTTTAACTTTCAAACACCTTTCCTTCTTTTTCACTGTTGCGTACAAGCCAGCGGAGCATACCAGTGCTCAGATCCAGCTTCAAGTCTAAATTTCCACTTGGCCATTACAGCACAGAAAATGCACTCCAGCAAAAGTCAAGAGGCTCCGTTAAGTCAAGCCAGGGAGATTTGCCAGATTTTCCCATTTCCTGCCTTTCATCAGATCTAAACCACACAGCAACCCCCACGCACCCCCGGTGTCTGGTTTGCGTCCAGTCAGAAAGTCTCGGCATCGCCTCCGGCTGTTACCTTAAAAAATAATCAAGGCACCATTTCATATGAATACTTTAATTAATCAGCTACCGTGGAAGGGCGCTCTGCCTTGCAAAGCTGCTGGTTTCTTTGCTGTTTCCATCCCATCTCACGATCCGATTAGCAGCAGCTCAATATGCAACAAGACGCTAAGACTAATTGATAGCTCCAGAGGCCCGGATTCGGCATTGGAGACAGTTGTTCTAACTGAGTTTAGGACTTCTTAGCCAAACTCTAATTTTCAGGACATCAATCACAAGCTTCAAAGGGAGACAAACCCAACAGCCCACGCTTAGATAGCAGCGAGGCTGGGAGCATGAGCGCTGCAATGGGGAAAAAGCTATCCCGCACATTTCTGCCCTCCTCCCCACTCTAGACACATCCCCTCCAGGAGATGGAGGATGGCAGGAGAACAACAAAAGTCTTAGCTTTTAATAAATGTGATAAATCAGGCCATCATGAGAACTTTAAATAATGGTGTTGAATAATGGCGAGGTTTATGATCAATGAGGCCCCACAGGGCTGATGCACCCTGGTTCCTGCCCTGTTCCAGCCTAGTGGGTACTGCTGGTGGGTGGCTTCTGCTGGTCAGAACAGCACAGGATGAAGATGACATAGGTGGCCTGTTTAATCTTTAGTGACGTCCCCAGGCCAGGACAACGGGCTTGGTAAAAACTTTGCACCATTAAAAACTGAGCATCTCCAGGCATGGGGTTTCTGCCACCGCCCTGGGTAAATTGTACAAACTTCAAGATCTTGCCCCTGAGATACTCAGTTCTCTTCCTTTCCCCTCATTAAAATCAGAAGATTAACAGTTTTAATTACAATTATTTTCTTTACATTAGGATATGTTGTTTCATGGGAACAATACTCAATGTCCTAAGAGTGCCTTTCCACTCCTATGATATGGTTTCCATGACTTCTTCGCATAGGTCTCACTTACTCAACTTTATTTCATCGTCTTCCAGCTCGCTATAATTAAAAATAATTCCCCGTAGTAAAAACTTAATATAAAAATGTACATTTCAAATGCGAGATGAAATTGGAAAAGCAATATCTCCCCATCGCACTCGAAGCAGAACAGCATGAAGTGAGGTGATGCACGTGCCGGTGCTTGACAGGCGCGCGATGACCGGAGGAGCGACAACGTGCTGTGAGTGTCGATGCTGTGGAGAAAGCCCATGGGTGCTGGAGAAGAGCGAGGCCATGGCCAGCAGCCCGCCCAGCTGCTCCTTAGTCATTAACGTGGGAAGAGCAGCAGAGCCTGGAGATGCTCAGCGCATACCTTACCATATAAAGGGGGCTGAGGGCAGGTGGAGCGGCACGTCCCGCAAAGGGAAACCCTTTAGCTTGGCTTTGGCCAGACATGAGCCTCACCTGACCACCATCAAAGCTTCATCAACAACGACTTCTGCTGCTTGTGTAGAAGAGGAGTGCGGGCAGTTTATTGCTTTTTGGGTTGTTTTTTTTTAAGCAAGAAGAAACTAATGCAATCACCCTCTGGAAATTCTGTATTTGTTCCTGGGCCTTTCCATCTTGTTCTCACCCCAGAAAAGGGTCTGCAAGCTCATCTCAGGGAAGTACCTGCTCTGGTGATTAAGAGAGGTCTCCGGCATCAAGGAGGACTCAGAGTTCGAGATATTTCGGTGCTGTTGCTAAAAGCTGGGGACATCCTGGAGCATCGCTTGACTCCAGGAGCTGAGGGCTGGCCAGGAGAAACCCAGTGATGTTGTGTTTCCCAACAAAGTGAGAAGAGCTGAAAGCACGACCAGCTTCAGCCACAGTGGGTAAATAAAGGAGCTGTTAAGCATGAGGGTTGTAGACTGGGAGGAAAGAAGAGAGGGAGCCATGCAGCAGCCGTGCTGCTGTGGAGGCATGGGCTGGGGAGCACCCGGCAGCGCTGCTTGGCATGGAGCTGCACGGAGCTGCCCTGCAGCGGGGCCGGGATGGCGGGAAGCAAATGGGGAGAAAAAGAACATTTCCTGGTGTCAGATTTAGCTGGAAAAGAGCCTGCCTTGAATTGACTTCACATGGTACAAAGCAGCAATGGCTCAAAAACAGATTGAAAAATTTGTTCTACTCCGGGGCAGTGCTTCATGTGATGAAGTTACAGGATGGATGTATTTTATTTTGCAATGGCTGCTTTTATGTGGTGCTCTTGACACGGCAGCCAGTCTTCTCCTCAGGAGGCTCTAACCCCCATTCCTGGTTACATTTCCACCCATCTACTGGTGTAGGGGATGGTGAAACTGGATCCACCACCCCACGCCCAACCCCCTTCTCTTTATGGACAAAAAAAGGCACTCAAGGGGAATCTGCAGCAAACAAGACCCAACACACTGAGCAGAAAACCTGGCTCCTGAGTCCCTCTTGCTTGGGATGCAAAAACATGCTTCAAGCCCAGGTCTTCCTATGCAGAGCTCAACATGAGCCCAATTGACCCACGAGGTCTCTGGGATGAGGCAGTCCCTTGTTGTACGCCACAGTTTGCAAAGCCCAGTCTCTGCCATTGCCAGAGCCTCCCGCAGCCCTTTCATCGCAGCAACGGCACCAACAATAAGTTAAACCATGCTGAAAACATGAGTGCTGCGCGAGAGGCTCTGGAGAGAGCCGCCAGCGTGCCCCCAGCTTTCTGAAGAGAGTCAAGGTCTCTCTGCTGTGAAAAAACAGCGACGACTCCAAACTGGGAAAGAGCAAGCGGAGCTAAAAAGCCAGGAGTGGAGGACTGAGGGCAGCCTGAAGCCAAGGCCAAGTGGGTCCTTGCAAGGTGTGCAGCTCCAGCAAAGGAGCTGGCATCTCCCAGCCAGTGTGTGCTGGGGTCTAGGGCAGTGCAGGCAGGACCTAGCACAGCAAACACCACCAAAGCAAGGCCTGTCCAGGCTGAGCTTTTAAGAAAGGGCAGGTATTTTAAGAAAGGGCAGTGAAAGAGCCCGGCCCCTCCTGGCAACAGCAAGAACGAAGGCAGAGTTTAAAATCCTGGCAGAAATGTTAAAATTCCTCTCAGACAAAGAAGGAACTCGGCAAACAGCCCTTATCACCCCCTCGGCACGGCTTATCTCTGCTTCTCACTTGTTTCTTCTGGGATGGAAATAAATGGGCTGTATCAGGGAGCAGCTCCATCTCCAGACAATGCGAGGA